TATATATATATATATATATATATATATTTATATATATAGCTTTGTACAACTATGAGACACCCGCAAACGATCAGAGAAAAAACAAAGCAGGTCACCCAAATAGTACAAACAAAATAAGAACAGAAGCGAAGAATAAACGCTTAAATAACAGTAAAAAAAAACATACAAAAAAACAACAAACAGTAACAACAACAGGAACACTAACAGTAACCAAAAGAAAGTTGCAAAAAAAAAAAAAAAACTACCACCAAAAAAAAAAAAAAAAATTACAAAAAACCTCAGAAATCATCATGTGGAGGTGAAGGTGCAGATCTAGAGGGAACCGCCGCAGCGGCAACTGCCGATGATGTATTTGCACTTCTCATAGAGGCAGTGTGATGTTGTGAAATAAGAGGTGTCTTTTGCGCATTCCACCTTACTACTTTACCCGTAACGCGTATAACCTTTCCTTTTCTTTTCCCTGTTGTGGGAGCGGGTGTTGTTCCTGTTATGGATGTGGATCTGGGTGTTGATTTCAATAAAGAAGATGCCGATCGTCCGGGTAGTGATGGGGGTGCGGCTTTGCAAGCAGATGTGGATGGGAGGGTCACTGAACGTGCACTGGATGCCGCGGATCCCGAAGAACGCCTCTTACTCTTACTTTTATTATTATTATTATTATTATTATTATTATTATTATTATGGCTATCAATATGACTGCTCTTATTATTATTACTATTACTATTATGAATGCTCCTTCTATTGTTCACACGTGCAGAGTTAACTGGCGCACGCAGCAGCTGTTGCCGCATATTGGTGTCATTATTACTATCACTCATCCTCTTTTTCTCTCCTTCTCCCTCTTCTTCTTCTACAGTAATAGCACGCATAGTAACATTAACGGTGGGACCCGTACTTCCATCAATGGCCACCTTAACAGAGAGTGAAGATGGTGTTTGATGAGTTAATTGCTTGATAAACCTCTCCCAGTGGGCAATACTTAACAAGGTATCCGCACCTTCCACTTCCACCAACACATCTCCCGCAGCGAGTCCAGCCTTTCGGGCTGGTGAGTTGGAGTCCACATGTGTAACGTGTAGATTTATATGCGGCCGCAGGGTTCCTTCTAATGCTACCGCGGTGAATCCAAATTGTGGAATTGTATACACATACTTATCTGCCGCTTTTCGACCCTCTCGTAATGATGCTTGTTTTTCTTGCTGTTTTTCTTGTTGTTTTTCTTGTTGTTGTGGTTCTGATTGTGGTTGTTGTTCGGCACTTGGTGATGGTGAGGATTGCTGTGGTAAGTAATGCCACTCTGGTGATTCCCGCTCCATAGAAACAGCGGCATATCTCTCCATCATCTCACAATCACTCTTCACATATCGATGGGCTCCATATAATGGTAATAGTGGCATAGATGCCGGTGGTAAATGAGAAGGTGAGGAATTACCAGAAACTGTTCCCATCACAACATCTTCACTTCCATTCATATGACTATGCACATCACTCCAAACCCTATCATGACAACCACTCATATCACTAGTATTAAACTTGTTATTTCTATTACACTCCGCATTTACCTCATCACCTGTTCCAGTAGATGTATGTAAACCACTATGTGTAGTAGTTAGGGCTTTTGTACTAAGAGAACTTTGTCCACGTGAGGCTGTTCGGCGGTGTTCCTCTCCGTGTAATTCAGAGGAAAGACGAAAAATACGTTTCTTCTGAATAGCACACAACTCCACAGAATCACGTAAACCACGTTTCAAAAGATGCAGTTCATGTAATACTTCTTTCATTCTACGCACCATTCGTTTAAGGATGGATTCATGCAATTCTAGCATGGTTTCACCAAGATAACGATGTTCACGTTCACAGAATAATTGAAAATTCTCCAAGAATGAACTCGTCACCTTCGTTTGTGTATGAATCCCTTCTTTCATAGTAGTATTAGTAGTAGTAGTAGTTGTTGTTGAGTTGTGTGGATCCTTAACAGAGACTGTACTTTCATGCTGTCTTTTTAGTATAGCTGATTGAAGTGCATTCATTCCGGCAAAGGCCACACGTGTAGACTCCACAATTTCTCCTAATATAGTCTCATCAAAAATCTCCACATCATTGCAAGGTGTATTGGAATTTATATTGGACGGCATTTGGGCTACAGAAGAAAGAGAATCCTGCGGAATAATTGCCTGCTGTGCCTGCATATTATGTATCCATTCAATCGGTGGTACTAAATTTTGTAATCTCGCTTCTTCTACCGGTTGAGAAGCCAGACATGGTGATTCTGATGGAATACAAGAAGATGTGTCCTTCTCATTATCTAGAGTATTTTTTAAAGGCTTTGCAGTTGAAATATCATCACTACCACTAATCATCGTATTATTATTATTATTATTATTGTTATTCTGATGATGATGATGATGATGGTTGCTATTGTTATTGTTGTTGTCTAATATATCATCATTAGAGGAAATGAGAAAAAACTGTTCGGCAAGAAGAGGATCTTGTTGTGCCATTTTTACAATTTCACGCCATTTTAATAGTAATCCACTCAGTGATCGCACAAGTGTCACTTCGGCCTCTCCTGCGTGAAGATTAGACGGCATCTTTCCTTCTCCCACTACGGATGTTGATCTCTTTACACACACAAAGAACACAGTGAGAATATATATATATATATATATATATATATAGTCTGTGTGTATATATGTATATATAAGAGACTTAGAGAATTGTAATGGGAAGAAGAAGTACAATAATAATAGGTAATACCCACCCACCCACAGATAGAGAGAGAATCCTTCTAATCAAAGGATGGGGTCTCCTTTTTTTGTTTTTTTCTAATTGTGTATATATTTTCTTTTCTTTTTTTATATATCTATTCTACTGGTAAACCTCAAATAGACCCCACTAGAAGTAATAAATATCAGATATAAAGAAGAAGAGGAAACAATAGGAGTAAATAGTGAAAAAAAAAAAGAAAATCACAGGCATTAATATTATTAGTTTCTCCAATAAATGTTCTTACTTATTTGGATTCTTTTTCTTTTTCTTCTTCTTCTTATACACAGTTCCAGAAATTCAAATGAGAAAAAACAATAGAATCAAGGACCACCTGTAATTCTACTTGACGGTAAAGACAGTCTCTCAGGAAAGAAACAGAAAAAAAAACAACAACAAAAAAACAAAGATAGATAGATATATACATGTATATATAGAACAATAACAATAACAATAATAATACTTTTTATATATACGTATACATAGTAATAATTACACTACTAGAGAGAGTATACTACCATTTTTTTTTCTTCTTTTTTTTCCATTACTTTTACCATTTTCTTTTCTTTTTTTTTCATTGCAAAAACAAAGAACAAAAAAAAAAGGGATCTACACTCTAAGTACGTATTAAGAAAGAAAAGAAAGAAAAAAAAAGAAAAAAGTGGCAAACAACAATAATAAAAAAAAAAAAAAAAAAACACACACATCAGAGGTTTAGAGCCACAAATCCTTTTTTCTTTTCTTTTTTTTTCTTTTTTTCTTTTTTTTCTTTTCGCTTGTGAAAAACAAAAAAAAAATGGGGGTACTGAAACCCTACCTAAAATACCCCCCTACTCACCCACCCATCTACGCAATCACTATCACTATCACTATAGAAATGTGTGCGTGGAGTTTGGAAAGAGGAAGAAAGTTCTTTTGTATAAACTCCATAATCGTAACACGTCAAGAACGAAATATGGATGATTTCAGTACACAAAGAAGTAAAAAAAAAAAAAAAAAACAAAAATCAAAAAAACAAAAAAAGGAGAGAAAAGAAAGAAAGAAAGAAAGAAAGAAAAAAAAAAAAAAAAACAATCATTGCTATACATGGTATATTCTTTCTTTTCCAGAGGAATATCACTATCTCACCCACTCAAACAAACAAACAAACAGACAGACCAAGAAACAATCACCTACTCTCTCACTCTCCCTCTCTCTCTCGTAAAGGGAGAAACTAATAGAAGCAAGTAAGCAAACAAACAAACAAACTACAGGAAAACACAATATCATTAATAACAACTCCATTATTAAAGAAATCATTTCAATCCCTTTGCAGCGGACCATCGTATGGTTCCCTGCAGTGGCTTGGCATCTTTCACATCATAATTCCGACGAAAGTGAAGTCGTGAGGTTTCATATGGAAGTGGATGTTCAGGCAAAGAAATAGTGGTTAACATGGGCGTTGTTGTGCCAGTTTGCGGCTTGCGTGAAGTCACTGGAGAAAACCATTCCGCCTCCCGCATCTGCGCAATGGCAACAGGAGGGAGCAATACAACACGTTCTTTTCCTATTTGAGAATCTGGTCGATCTTCACGCTTATCATCATGATCATGATCATCATCATAATAACCATCATCGCCTCGTTTTGGTTGCGGCTCCCTTTGTTTTCTTTCTTTTTCCTCTCCTTCTTTATTCTGCTTATATGCAGAAGATACTTTTTTTCCAGTTTCTCCAGTCATCACCTTTTCATCTTCCGACTGAGTTTGGGCTCGAGAATAGGATGGTATCCCATCTGCGCTAATAACAGGTTGACGAACATGTTCCATAAATCCCAATAGTACTTGATCAGCGTGATCTGTAAATACCACTTGCTCTCGTTTTGTGGTTTCTTGCTCTGTACCAACCTGTTGTTTCTGTTCAATTCTTCCTTCTTGTAGTTGTAACTGTTGTAGTTGTTGTTGTTGTCCTTCTTCATCGTAAGTCTTCATTGGGTCTATGAAAGCGTGAGATTTGGGAGCCCCATATCGACTATCTTGTGTTTCATTCATTATATTTCTCGTTATCTGATTAGATGCATACATACTCTCACGGGTTACAGTACGACGGGATTGTTCATCCACAAATGAACGGCGAAGACTCTCCGGTACATCTTCCCACATAACTTTTCCTTGAGCAACAACACTACCAATGCTATCAAGTGATTTCGCTATAGAACGAGCATCTGCAGCAATGACATCTTCAACAATAATGCGTTTTCGAAATGGTTTAATACGAATATCAGCGACTTGTAAACTTCTTGCCAAATCCACAGAAACTGTCCTTGGTGATTTTGGACGTTGTGGTGAACTGCGAGGAATAACATTACGATCTGTAGAAGCCTTACCACCACTCCATTTACTGGATAGAAGAGTTTTCTGACTTCCTTTGGTAAGAGATTTAAATGTCCCTTTTAATGAATCTATTACAGCTGGATTTGCAGATGCCTTTCCCCCATCATTCCGTTGAAAACGAGATCCATCACCAAAATCAAACATGTGATTGTAAGTCAAAATAGCCGTATCTTTTGGTTTTTCCACTGGAATATAACAACCTTTACTGCGATGATTGTAGTAAACATAGTCTTGTTTTGTACGATCAAACCCACGCATGGGATCATGTCGGCGAAATTGCCGTTCCATACAAAGCATTAAATATGTTTCCCGATCCATTACTTCCTGTTCTCTGCGTAGAGTAGTGGACATACTTCCCACATGTTGGATTAATAATGCGGGAGTTTCCAAATGTCTAGATTCAAAGGAATCATGTTGAAGAGATCGTGAGGATACACTTGCCCCTTGACTTGCACGTACAGAAGATCCAATAAGACCCATTACACCTCCTCGCGGTGTACGTTTACTACTTGTACGACTTCCTCCTCGTTTTAATGGCAATGGTGTAATGGCATCATGGGAGTGAGTGTGAGTGTTCATTACATATTCCGCACCACTAACACCACCAACTGTTTCTGTTTCTGTAGAAGTAGTATTATTAGTAGTTGTAGTTGTAGTATTTGTTGTTGCTGCTGTTGCGGCTAAAGCTCTTGAACCGTGACTACCCTTTGACCATCCGTTGGATGTTTTCCTGGTGCTTCGACCATCTGCTGGAGAGGCGGCGGCGGCGTTAACTTCCATTAATATTATTATTATTATTATTAATATTAATAATAATAATAATAATATTAATGAATATCTCTTCCTTCTATTCCTTCTCCTTCTCACTATTGTTCTTTACCCACCACCTTTAGAGTATTGAGTGAAAAGACTTCACCCAATATATCAACCACCGTGTACTTTTGGTAAATGAAAAAAAAAAAAAAAAAAAAAAAAAAAAAAAAAAAACCAAACGGATAGAAAGAGTAAAAGGATTAGTGGAAATCTTGTATGAAAAAAACAAACAAAAAAAAATCTACCCATATACATATGTATATATAGGGTGAATATACTGAAAAACAAAAAAAAAAAAGGTTCCAATAACAATAAAATTAGTCACATAATTCTATCAAAACTTTGGATGGCTGGTACCCAGAAAAAAACCAGTTATATCATAATTATAAAACTCATTCACAAATGCTATACTATACATAGTTTGATTTCCTCTTTCTTTCTTTCTCCTTATACCTCGATCAAAAGAGGATATTATGAAGAGCGAAGAAGAAAAATACAGAAAGAAGGAGCAAGAATAAAAGAAATAATAAATAAAAAAAAAAAAACTTAAAGAAGCCCAATTTCGTTTATTTATTATTTTTTTTTTTATTTTTATTTCTTTTCTCCTTGCCCCCTTTTTTTTCTTTTGCTTCAAGAAATTCTTTGCACATCATCACTTCGGTAATGATCGAACGAGTTGGATATCCTCCTCTCGTATCTGAGCTGCAGCCTTTTGTCTTTGCCTTTCAGCATAGATGGAAGCCCTTCCTGTATCTGAAATAACAATAGGCTGACGACGTGTACCGAGGTAATCCCACCGAAGTCGTGTTTCATCTGTTGCTGGAGACATTAATGGAAGTGAAGGTAAAAAAACAGGATTCATCCTCCTACAAACACCATTCCCACTATTTCTACCACTATTACTATTACTATTATTACCCTCTGCAGAAGAAGAAGAAATGGGAAGAGGTGCTGCAGGATCCTCCCCCCATGGATCCACACTTCTCCCAACTCCTTTACCAACTGTAGTGGCGGTGTGTGTACTCGCAATGCCGTGATGATGGGCGAGGCCCAAATCCACCACATCGTGATCCGGAGGGCGGGGGACAATTGCCTTTCCTTTATGAAATTCTGAAGATACGTTTTTCCCTTCTACTCCACCCACGGCGGGATTAAATCTTCCAAATCCACGTCGTCGTTGACCTCGCGCTAATGACTCCGGCACCGGTGGTGAGAGTTGACGCAACGACGGTGTCCACTCCGATTCATATCCGCGTAGTTCATCAAAATGACGTCGTCCACCGTTTGCAGAGTCTAACACATAATTCCCACCTTCCACACCTCGCAGACACAGTGTATGCTGTACATTGTTAAGATCGTTAGGATATACATGACCAGAAGGGCCTAATCCATTACCCGGTACATGCAAATCATTTGCAAGTGAACTTTTCGTAATGGGATCTGGTGCGTAGTCTCGTCCAAGTCGAAGAGAGCGATGTCCTGGATGATTGCCTGGAATAGTGTTATCACCATAGGGAGTTGCATAGTTGGAGTTCTTAAAAGCAATGGACATGTCTTGCAGCTCTGTTAAACCTCTCACCGGTAATTCTCGATGCACCTCCCCCATTGCTCTTAATAATAATGGAACCCCACACACACCTTACACTAAAATAATAATAATAATACTACTACTACTACTACTAATAATAATAATAATAAGAATAATAATAATAAGACTAACTAAGGAGCTTAATTCACCTTTTTTTTTTTTCTTTCCTTGTCGATAGGATGGTAAATAGGCTCTTTGAAGAAAAAACAAAACCAAAAAAAAAAAAAAGAAAAGCAACACAATATTTAAATTACTGCTATCAATATTCGTAATCTCAGGGTTTGCTAGACCCATAAACACTCTTAAAAGAAAAAAAAAAAAAAAAACATGACCAATTATGTATTATATTTTTTTTTTGTTTTACTTTATTGACTATTCGTCACCACAATGTCTGGATAGCCAATAATATTAACTACTAACGCCATTTCCATACCACAAGTGGCACTTCAGGATTTTTTTCTTTTTTTTTTTCTCTGAAAAATGGCATCGCCCCCTACCTTCCTCTCATCTAAATATATCTAACACACCTACCAAACACATACCATACATATATACGCAGACATACACACACACGCACGCAGACGCCAACCCACCAACCCACACAAACATGGATACACAAATACCCTGGTTTCCCTTCGATTCAAAAATAAATTTTTTTTTTTTTCTTTTCCCTATTCCTTCCTTCCTTCATTTCCCTAAGTAATTGCTACAGCTAAATATGTTTTCATTAATGAACGCCGCTCAAAAACCCAACTGACGCAAAGACGGGAACGCCAGCATCTCACCATGACCAAACAAGGAAGGCTTGGTTCCCATTGCACAATCCTTCACTTGCTTTAACTCCGCTGGAGTCACAGATCGAATAGCCTCAAGAACATCTTCGGGACTTACATATTGTGTAGAGTCCTGCGCATTAGCGACAAGAGGCAGGCTGGTACCCATATAATCACAAAGATCACGAACCGTATCCCAGTTCTGACTGCTGACCACCACAGCAGCGCGACGCTTCGCCGTCTCCAATGCCGCCGCATCGTCCACCTTAACACCTTGTAGGTCACGCATAGCCGCTGTTACCATCTTTACAATATTCTCAGGTTCAGACCTCGCGGTGAAGCCAAGAAGACCAGCACTTTGATAGGGCATATAGAAAGAACGTACACCCTCATGTGATCCAGTGCGTTCATAACGGACGGCATCTTGAATAACAATGTTAAAGAGTTCCTGAAATACGAGAGAGGCAGCGTACCGTTTAAGAGATGCCTTTCCACGACCAAAACCGAGGTAACCAACAGCAACAATAGTTTCATTATCCATATCCGGATTTGTTCCCATTTCTTTTGAACGGTTTTCATGCTCATGCTTTTCACCACCTGTGTATTGCCGTTGTTCGTTATTGAAATCAAACTCTGGCTTAGTATTTTGTTTTGCAAATGCAGCATGATGAGGTGCTGTAGAAGAGTGTGGAAATGGAGTATTCTCATATTCTGCGGTGAGTTCATCATGTTCAACATTAACACCAGCAATAACCACACGATCAGGAGTCACATACTTGGAGTACTGATCTAACAGTACTTTGCTGGTTACATGTCCATTGTTATTCTCTGGTACATGTCGTGGATTTCCGAGGGGTTCCTTATAAAAAGCAACTGTCTCCAGTTGTTGAATAGCATATTGGGACGGATGTTGCCATCTCAATTCCTTTAGATTATTATCCAAAGTATCACGGAAACGTTCAATATCACTTTCATGAAACCGAGGAGCTGCAATAGCTGTAAATATAGTATCCTGAACGAGGTTTAAGTTGAATTGATTCTGTTCACCCTTCTTATTATTGTTCTGACTTCTCCACATATCACTGCGTGCATCCAGTCGAAGACCAATGAAATGTTTATCCTTTTCAAAATGAGAGAATGCTGCTCCAGTGCTTCGAATACTCCTGTCCAATTGAAACAATGAGTTATTATAATTACTTGTGGTGAGTGCGAGATGCAGGAGATGATGTACACCCGGACACCCCACGGGATCATACGCGGGCCCAGCGAGAATATACGCCCCCACGGAGACCATAGCCCCATGCCGCTGTTGAGAAATCACCCGAGCGCCATTGTGGAGTTGCGTAACTTTCACCTTTTCAGGTGCCGGTGTACTTCCGGCCTGAGCGGCGGCTGCGGGGCGTGGGTTTGGGGCCCCGGACCAGCGTTCAGATAACGGCACTTGACCGAATTTATATTCGGAGATGCCCCGCACTCGTGAAGTGACGGCAGCGGCGGCAGATGTCGTCGTAGCGGCAGTCGCAGTTGAGTGAACAGTGACGCGACGGTACATTTACTTCTCTCTCTCTCTCTCTGTGTTTGTATGCACCAGTGGGAAGAGGATCCAAAAAACCTACAGGCCTTTAAGTATTATTATTTTTCCTCTGCTAAAAGAAGAGGTAATATAATAATAATAATAATAATAATAATAATAATAATAATAATAATAATAATAATAGAGTATAAGAAGAAGAAAAAAAAAGAAGGGAAGAGGAAATACTCGAAAAGTAAATGTGTATATATATACACATATATATGTATATATACGAATAGGATTATGAAGAAGATCGCAACCAATAATGCATTATAGAGAATTAGGGAAGGAGAAAAACCACACACAGACAGAAGATAAAGGAAGGATAATAAACACACAGACAGATAACAAAGGAAGGATAATAAACACACAGATAAATACATATTTATATGAAGAAGAAAGGAAAACACAGAGAAGGAAAGAAGATTACTCGGCAAGTCAAGCTTACATCATTTTTCATCGTATGTCAAGGTAGAGAAAAGAACGAAGACAAAAAAATTCTTCTTTCTCTTAAAGTCAACATTAACCAACTACTACCAGCATATCCACACAAGCATTATTTCTCGAGCTCTCATCAAAGACGGAGACTTCAACAGATACGTACAGTAAGCTTAAGGAACCATTAAACAAAAACAGAAAAAAAAAGAAGAATTGAAAAAGAAAACCAGTAAAAAAAAGAAAAAAAAAAAATAAAATGTAAATAAATTTTCCATGTATTTTGATTCCTTACTAGATGATAAAGAAAAAAAAAGCATATACTAGAAGTATAATTCCTCTATTCTAAGATTGATCCTTCGCTATATATTCATTTAATTAGACCTATATAACCTTTCCTATTACTTTTTTTTTATACTTCTTGTGTAATTTCACTTGACCTTTATTTTTCTTTTTCTATTTTTTCTCAACTGAGATAAATAAAACTACCCCTTTTCCTATTATTCCCTTCCTACAATAAAGAAATATATCCTTGGATAGTAATAGGTATGCATACATGAATGTCAGCCGTAAATGATGAAATAATAACCATTACGGAAAAATAGCCCAAAAAGCCATTTCCGTCCTCTTAACTATTTTATTTTTTCCCATTCTTGCACACATGGCATTTCTTCTTTTCTACTGTGTTTGTTTTTAGGGAATATACATAAGAGGGTGTGGGATACCAATTGGTTATAATTAAGAAAACACCATATATATATATGTATATATGTAAAAAAAAAAAAATAATAAAGCAACATTGACTCTATCGCTCCCACCTTAGGACCTTCACCAACTCTTTTCCACAAGAGAAGGAGCTAGACTTTGGTTTATTTCCCATATTGGAAATAAATAATTCTACTACTTGCAAAGCAGTAAGGAAAACAAGAATTAATAGGAAACTTGCAATCTCCTTAGGTACGTCCATTTTTTTTCCTTGTCGATATTGTTCGTCCTAGTTATTACCATCTACAATTACTATGATTAGTAAGAGTATATTAGTAATAATATCGATATGCATTTTTTATTTATTTATTTATACAAAGTAATATAAATAAATATAATTTTAGTAAACAAGATGTGTGTGTGTGTGTGTGTGTGTGCAATTCTCCCTATGTAGTTGCGAATAAACACTGCTTATTACACAATTACATATATCTCATTTGCAATATCCGTGGTTTCAAATATAATATGTATAAGTGAAAAGAAAGAGATAGAGATACTTCACTACTCTGACTTAACTTAATACATAAAAAATCCAGGTTCTTTTTTTTTTTTTCTGCAAATCCATAAGTAATAGGATAAAAATCTTATTACAGTTGCATATAAGCAATGAGAAGGCTCTATTTCTCTTTTGCTTTTTTTTTTCCATTTCCGTTGAATCACAAATATACCTCCTCGCTTATTCATCCTGACTTCCCACACCACCAACAAAGCAGAGAATTACCATATAGGTAAGGGTGAAAAAGAAGAGAAGAGTATGTATTCACCTTAAACAATAAATAAATAAATAAATTTAGAGAGCGGGTGTAAGGGGGAAGGGCAAGGAAGAATGGGGCCAATATTTTTGTAAATAAATATTGTTGTAAACATCACCCCTGTTATGTGAATTGATTATTTTTTCTGTGTTTCCTCCCCGCCCGCCATGTGCGTTTGTGTGTTTATATAATATACATATATATACATACATATATATATATATGTATACATATATATATTTATGTGTGTGTGAGTGTGTGTAGAAAACAGAAAATATAAAATTCTTATGTGTACGTAACTGTTTTTTTTTTTTTCTTCTTCCATTTCATATTCTATAGTTTTTTTTTTCCTTCGTTTTCAACAAGATATACCGCTTAAATATATATATATATACACTTTCGACAGGTGCTATTTTTCTTTCTCCTCTTCCTCTCACTTTTCACTTTTTTTTTTTTTCATATTTATTATATTTATGTTGGTAGTATTCTCTATTAATGGAACTTTCTTATTCCACAAGCATGCAACCTCGTCTGCAGCGATCGGTATCTATTTTTTTTTTTTTCTACTACATTCCTCACATTTACAATTTACAATTTATTCTACTCTTTTTTTCTTTTAATTATTTATCCCTCCCTTCTTTCCTATTAGTTACTACACACATTATTCTTTTTTTTTTTTCTTTGCAGAAGGAATTATATTATTGGATTGTGCAAAAGTTGAAGACCTAATTGTTGTTATTCCTAACATTTATTATTTCCTCGTTCTTTTACTTTTGGCCACAGTCCTCTTTGGTGATTTTGAGCGCCCGTGTTTGGCAGCGCCATTCTTTCCTCTTGGTTTCGCTTTCTTTCTCTTTTCATCCATAGCATTAGTTTCTTCTTCATTTTCACTCTCATCAGGTTTATTAACAGCATCAGAGGATTCCATCACTTCAACTTGTTGTTGTTGTTCTTGCTCTTCTTCCTCTTCTTCTTGTTCTTCTTCATGTTGTGATTGGTGCTGTTTTTCTTCTTCATTCTTATCATCCCTCTTATCTTTGTTTTCTTCCACTACAACTGATATCTTCTTTTCTCCTTCCTTTTCCTTTTCTTTTTCTTTCCCTTCTTCTTTTTCTTCTTCCTTCCTTTTCGTCTTCTTCTGATGCTGCTTCAACACTGTTGTTTTTTCAGTCTTGTGATCATTATTGGCCTTCTCATTCTTTGCGGGTATCTCCACATGATTTTCTCCTTCTTTTTCTTCTTTTTCTTCTTCTTTTTGGACCACCGCTGTTTGCTCCGCCGTTACTTCCATAGAAACTGCTGCTGTTTCACTGTGGGCGGCGTCCTTCTCTTCATGCGCCTCAGTAGACTGCATTCCTGAAATTGCGGTTGTTGTTGTTGTGGTTTCCTCCACCTCCTCCACCTCTTTCTCTTTCTTTTCCTTATCATTCTCCTTATTCACCACCTCATTTATTCTCTTAGATGAGTTGGAAGATGAAGATGAAGATGAGGAGGATGAGGATGCGGATGAGGAGGAATCATCATCATCATCATCATCATCTTCACTGTCGGTAACGCCAATATCCACGGTACTCTGAACTCTACGTGAGGAGAAGGGAGCGGATCGTCGTGATGGTCCTCCTGCGGGATCTGCACGATTTCTGTTACCGGGCTTATTTTCCTGTTTTCCAGTTTGTTTTTCGCCTGATTTATGAGAAATATCCTTCTTATCACTGGACCCATTAGATGTAATACCATTAGTGTTGGTCTTGTCATCATTACCATTGGCACTCTCATCCTCATCATCTGAGCCACCAACATGACCGCACATAGGGAGTGTACGGGAACCATCAGTGGAACCAATGGTAGTAGTAGTATTATCATCCTTGTTACGATCTTTATTATTACTACTATCATTATTCTTACTATCATTGGTATTATTTTTGGTATTATTTGTAGTAGTGGAACTACTACTGGCTGCAGCTTCCCGTCGTTTTGCCTGTTCCATACGTTCCTTTGCGCGTTGTTCACGATCTTCAGCAGCACGTGCGAGTCCTTCCCGGTCCTTTTCAAGTACAAGTTCACTGAGGCGGTGACGTTCTTTCTTTGTCATGCTCTTCAGCTCCACATGTTTACTTGCAATGAGTTGCCGTAATTGTGCCTCCGTGTGATGTCGATGGAGACAATTTGTACGTGAACAATAGTTATGAATAAGAAAGTGTGCACATACCTGCTGTTCAAATAATTCAACGGGTTTACTTTTTTCAATCTCTGTTCCCTTGGTTTTTAGCATCAATACAATACCCCCTTTACAGAAAACATATCTTGGATTCCTTGTATCTGTAGGAATTTCATATTCACGTAGCCAAACTGTACAACGTGGTCCTGGCATTGTTGCACACATTAACTTATGCTGTGGATTCATATAAATCTCAAGAATATCATCTGGAATAGGTGCTAATACAGGCAATGGCTCTGGTTGTTCACGTACAGGTGCCTGGAATGCATTATTCATCATTCGACCACCACGACCCATACCACGACCGCCCACCATTGTTTGCATAGATCCCGGTCCCATCGCAGGAAAAACAGAACATGTGTTATTTGGTGCCGGCATGAGTCCAGCACCGCGACCAAAAGACATCATAGGATTACCGTAATTACTATTATTGTTATTAGGCATCATTGGGAGATTGGGAGGCATCATCATCCCACCATTGTTCATCATCATGCTTCCACCAACTCCCATCATGGGTCCACGGTTAAATGTCATTGGCGGGGGTTGTTGCAAAGGAGAAACTTGCGGCATCATTGCCATACGTTGTTGCTGCTGTTGCTGAAGAAGCTGAAGAAGGAATGCTTGGTTTGGATTAGTTTGAGCAACATTTAATGAAGGGTTTTGCTGTAAAGCAAAGGAATCCCCAATACCACCTCCACCTGCAAGTACCATTTGTTGTTGCTGTTGGGCTTGTTGTGGTTGTGGTTGTGGTTGCTGCTGTTGCTGAGGTGGTGGCGGTTTGTTAGCATCATAGCATCTCCGCAGTAAGAAATCCTGATCTTCTGTACACACACGACGAAATTCATTCACGGCAATAATAACATCTTCAGGTGTCTTTCCACCAGGAATCATTGCTGCGGTTTGTGCATCCTGCACAAGTTGAATAGGCATATCAAATAAATAAAAAGAGCGTGAGAGTTCCCGAGGGGTTGCGAAGTTGAGGATGTGAACCGGTTTATTTTCTCCTGGTGCGGGTGTATGACCGGGTACCCATAACGTCCGTCCCTCCGTAATGTAAAGAAAAATACTGTTGCTAGCGGCCATACTTTCTTTCTAAGATAGATAAACACTATTCTCCTAGTTTAACGCAAGAAAAAAGTAATTTCAACTCTAATAATAATAATAATAATAATAATAATAATAATAATAATAATAATAAAGAAAAAGAAAAGAAAGAAAAGGTAGGGGAATATACCCAGAAGTAATAATAAAAGAGTATACTTGGCCAAAGGATTAAAAAAAAAAAAAGAAGTGAAAACGGCAATTTAATATCAAGCACACACACATATATATATAGATAATGTGCAAAAGGAAAAACTAAGACAAAAGCACCTACGGCAATTTTTTTTTTTCTTTACTAGTTGGACCATTACAATTTCCTTTCATCCCTACAGCTAATGGCTATGGGTAAAAGAAGGTAGGTCAACAACAGTAAAATCACTGTGAAGAAGGAGAACCTTTCTTTTTTTTTTTCCACTATTCATAAATACCCAAACTAAATGAAAAACAAACAAACGAACAAACAGAAACTAAAAAAGACGAAAAAAAAAAAAAAAACACCATCACTATTTACTATTAACGTTGCTATCAGAAATCTCTTCATACCGAGAAGTTAACCGTTCCTTCACAGAGTAAGAATATAGGCATCATTGAAATATCGCCTAGAGGCCAAACTATAACCACCATACATTAATATCACTGGACGTCCATTATCTTTAGGTGGGGGTAACAACAAACCACATGGGGCTGCTCTTCTGCACGGTGGACTATGCTTTGGAGCCACTGTTGTTTCTATCCTTCTCCATATTCGTGTCTGTAGAGAGAGTTGAAAAAGATCAAGTTTCTGATGTGGTCGATGTTGACCATTATAAGATCCCATAGCATAAACATCATCATTATATCGCACAACAAAATGTCCACTACGAGGAACATCTGAAGAAACAATATTTGGCCCTTCTGCATATGTACGCAATCGTTTACATATAAGATCTACCGTATCGAATTGATACAAGTAGGGTGGTCTTCTTGCTGCTTCTGATCTTGCCGCATCAGTGGCATTCCAAAATAAAACTCTTCCATCATGATGAAGAAGTGGTGGCCAACGTACTCCTCCAAAGGTGATGATATACCGATCTTTCCAATCTACTGCCCCGTGATAAGCCATTGGAGGGACATCACAGACACCTTCTTCTTCTTCTTCATTCTCCTCTTCTCTTGTTTCCATTTCTTCTTCATTTCCCATTCCTTGTCTTGATGGGGATACAGAGGATGATGGAGTTTGGGATTCATTCATACTACTACCACGACCACCACCGTTATGTCTTTGTTCAAATCTTCGGGCTCTTTGTTCGTCTGCTTGTTCTCGTGTTTGTTGTCGTTGTCGTTGCCCTTGTTGGGGTTGACATGAGAGAAGTGTCCACGTTAATTCCATCCGATCTACATCAAATCGACCAACAAACACTTCAGCACAAAGTAATCCACAAGAGGCAAACATCTTTTTACCCCCAATAAGATATAAACGATCCCGTATCACCGTTACGGAGTGTCCAGAGCGTGGTTCCACACAATCCCCACGCAATTTCACTAAGGACCATTTATTTCGTGCCGCATGATAAACCCAAACATTATTTAAATGATGAGTGAGATTATTACCGTATAAGACTAGTAAATAACGCCCTTGCAGGGATACCATCGCATGTCCTGTTCGAGCCCCTGGAGTTGCAGGTCGTGCACGAGGTGTTTTTGCAATAGTCTCAATCACATCATATGTGATTTGCCAACGTCTCGTACAGGAGGCATCACTCAAGCCAAATGCCTGTAATTCCTTCTCATTAACTTTTTGTTCTCCCTCTTCCTCACTTTCATCATCATTTTCATCATCATCATCTTCTTCTTCTTCTTCCTCTTCCTCTTCCTCTTCATCATCATCGTCGTCATCATCATCATCATCCCATCGCCTCTGTTGTTGACCCCGACGATCCTGTCTTTGTTGTTGTTGTTGTTGTTGGTTCTTCCATGGATGCTCATCATCGCATTTCTCCCCCTTCACTTGCTCCAACTGTAGTCGATAAAAAGAGTTCAGCACCTTATCATCATTTGCACATCCCCCAAAAAGATAAATACTATCATACATTCGCACACACGTAGCAAAACAACATGCCTCCGGCGGCCGTACATTCACTTGTTCACGATCCCGCATTACAGTAGCCACTCCATACCTAGATGCTGGCACCGGCACAAGTACACACTTCTGCCATTGATACTGTATCACCGCAAGATCTGAAAGCAATTCATTCAATCCATAATATTTCGCCTCCTCAATTACTCGTTTACGCTCTAAAGGAGGCAACTGAGTTAGTCGATCACGTGCAGTCGCATTATGCGTTAAAAGTACTAACGATGGTGATGCGTTTGTTTGGTGTGGTTGGGCCATTTCCATTATACGTTGTCTACGCTCACGAAGTAGAAAGAGAATTTCACGAAATAACCATGGATCACGATCGAGAAAAACATGACCTTGATTATCTTTCTGTATTGTAAAGAGTGGATCCTCCAACATATTAAAAAAGGTCATGGGGAATTGTAATAATGTATCCCGTTGAACGTGAAAACGCATACCACCAATGTTTAATTTCATTATAGGCGACTGTGCCGCTGCTGCGCAACCCTCTACACGATGACGTAAAATACGTTCGCGTTGATCCATTCTTCGTCTTTTTAATTGCATTTCTGCACAGGCACGTCTAGTAGTGTAGATGAATGCTTCTGCCGAGCGTCTAAGGAGTCTATACTCACCTAATAGTATTTCCGTCGCGGTGTCATTATTATCGTTATTATTATTATCATTATTAATATCATTCTCAGCAATAATTTCCTTTTTTACCTCATTACTCTCTTCGTTTTCCTCATTACTGCCATTATTGTCCATGTTGTAGCAACCATGTCTGTTCGCCAAATTAATGCGAGGAATGGATTGCTCATCATAATTGTTGTCATCCAGAATAAGAGCAACACCTTCATTATCATACAGCTCTGGAACTTCGTAGTGTCGAGAACTATCACCACTCATGTTATAATATATATATATATATTTTTTCTTTTTTTTTTTTTTTGCTCTTTATGTCTTTCTCTTTATCTACAAATACTTCCCTATTTTTTCTTTTTTGTTTCGTTCAACATGATTATTTATTAACATTAATAATAATAAAAAGAAAAGGAGAAGGAGAAAAAAAAAAGTGAGAAAAAGAAGTAAATGGAAATAAAACAAGAGACCACCACACCTCATCTACTCATTAATAAAGGAATATATACATAAATAAATATATGGGATCACCCCACCAAACACTGAAAATAATTGTAGCAACGTTATTTAAAACGGATAGTGTTCAATACTTTTCTTTCTTCTTCTTAACCAAAACTTAACTAGTAAGGGAAAGAAGGCTTTATTTTTTATTTTTTTTTATATTTTTTTTTATATTTTCTATGGTAATACAGGAACAACATCATCATCATCACCGACATCATCATTATTTGTACACTCCAAGGTGTGATGTGCCTCTTCAGCTGCTTGTAGTTCCATTGCCAGCACCATTTCCTGTGCTTCCAATTCACGTTGCTTTAATTCTTTCTCCTCTTTATCTAAATTTTCCAATTCCTTTAATCGAGTTTCACGACGCATGCGTAACTGCATTTCAAACTCTAATGTATGTGCCACTGCCTCCTTACCACATCTTTGTAGTAATTGTAATGTATCACTTATCGGTAATTTCATGAAAGTGAGATGATTAAATTCATAATAAAGTCCAATAAGAGCATCTAACTGACGATGATGATAATTTGCCAATTCCTTATCACTTTTCCCTCCCAAAGGAGAAATGGAATCAGGAGGATTAACAGTTGAAGAGGAGGGGTTTGGTGCTATCTCTTCAATAGCCTCATTTCCCTCTATGGAATCTTTTCCCATCATTGTTTTTTCCTTCTCTGTAGAGAACACTTCTTCTTCTAATTCTTCTGCGGCTTTTCGTTCTTCAAACATGGCCCATAATGCCTCATCTCCATTTTCCATTGGTCTTTGGTTTTCTTTCAGTGTCTGACAATGTGAGTTTGTTGCTTCTTCTTCCTGTTTCTTTTGCAATCGTCCTCGAGCAGCATCTATTCCTTCTGGAGGATACATCAGTATTGGATTACGTGAGATCATGGCATGAAATCGAGGAAGTCCCTTTTCTCCATAAACAACTTCTCTAAAACGTTCAATTCCACGAATATCACGAGGACGTTTCTTCGCCACTGCAGTAGCTGGAATAGCTCCAGTAAGTGTAGATCTATTGCCTCTATTAACAGAAGACTGCTGGTCTTGGGCGAAATTCACCGCTCTCATGGTAGTAGCTCCACTTCCCTGTGGATCTGTAGTAAAAGGGGAGTGGGCAATATTATCTCTATGCTTGAACATTTATTTTCCACACTAAGGAAGTTTAGTTAGTTAGTCAGTTGTTCTTGTTTTTTTTTTTTTTTAACTCTCTCCTCACAGACACAGAGATTTACTTACTTACTCAATCTCTCTACGTTGCCCCTCCTTTTAATATTCTTTCTTCTGTATTTATCCTGTTTTCACCATGCAGTGGTATTCGCTTAGTTTCCCTCAGGAATATTAAAAGTTCAAAAAAAAAAAAAAAAAACGATAGTATAAATGAGAGATACAAGTACACATACAAAGATATCCTCCAACAACCAAGAAATAAAGAATAAAACTAATAATACATTAACCTCTAAACACAAGAAACCATGGAATATCCTTGTGGCACCAACATACAAACACACATTATACAATCATACGTACAAACACCAACGTAAAACAACAACAACAACAAAAAAAAACCTCAAAGTTCAAATCGTTCTTCAGCCCCTTTACCTCCAAATAAATTTGCTCGCAGTTGCCAAAAGTTAAAATCATCACTTGGTGAACGATCTGCTTTTGCAAAGTGATATGGATCCTCTTCCCATCGTTCATACCGCCTTGCGTCATTGTATCCAGCATCATATGCCTCTAACAGTTCATCACGTCTCGCCTCTCCACCAACATTTGGTGCAAAAGCCAACCAAGCCTGACGCCAAAATGAAAAATGTGTATTGGCAAGAAAACCATGACGACCAAAGAAAATATTATGTCGAGTTTGATGTCTGTTGTAGCGATAACCAGAGTAACCGTGTATGTATATATGTCGGCAATATTGATCCAGTTCACTACTAAGTGACATCATAGTACCACGCATAACGTTATCAGCATCCCGAAAGATCATAGGTTTCTCCGTATTTGGTGCTGTTGCTGCCATTATACACTGCGCGAGATCATCCACATCTGTCCACTGAGCAATATGATGGCCAAAATGAATATTTGCCTTCGACTGTGCCATATACCCAGGATCTTTGTTAGAGAATCCTATAGTTAATGCAAGACGACCAGACACCAACTCCACCGCATTACGTGGTAGTAATTTGTTAATACAATTTGTAAATGCCGCTATTCGTGCCTCCTCGTCTGTAACGAGAAAGCGATTATCCACTACGGCATCTCGCACGGCCTCAATGTTCACAGCCCGCGGTCCGCAGGCGAGGGCGACCGCTGGGATCACTCCAGTGCCGGCGCCGAGAAGATAGGCGTGTGCGAGGAACTCCGCCTTCTCCTGCTGGAGATAATGAGCCACTCCGAGGGCGTACGTGACGAGAAATCCGCAGCCACCGAAACTCAACACCGCCCGCGGGGCAGGCCGTCCGACTTCCAACAACACCGGCGTCTTGGACCGCACCTTCCGGGCCCACTCTCGAGGATCCGTTGGGGCCATTACCAACAGATAAAAAGAATAAGAGATACTACTACTATTATATTATATATATATATATATATATTTATAGTAAAAAATAATAATAATAATAGTGGGATGGTATCAATCGTATTTGTGAGAATGGACAAACCAATAAAAAAAAAAAAAAAGAAGTGGTCGTCCGACGCTGTAGCGATAGAGTATTTTTTTGCGCCCTTACTATTTCGTTGTCTTCGGTGCACTTCACGAAGAAGGAAAGAAAAAAGAAAAAAAGAGAAAGTAATGGGGAAAAAACCATCATGTGAATAATAATAAAAAAAGAATGTGTTTTACACCATAAGACCAAGATCAACAAAAACAACCAAATAATAATAATAATAAACTGCAAAAAAAATGCTTTACTCGACTCTTTATTGTTTTTTTTCTTTTTATCCTTCTCATGGAAACCACACACAGGATTAAAAAAAAATATGAATTAAATATCAAATTCATGAAGGATTTATATATATATATATATAGTACTATCCTCCCAACAAATATGTTATTATTCTTCATATTTGTAAATTATGGTTCAAAGGATGCCATTTTTGAACGTTTTTCCACCACCTTTGCTTTTCGTGCAGGTGTTTCTCTTACTCTTTTTCGCTCCATCCCCGTGTTAGCCGTACTAGCAGCAGTATTAGGACCATTCGGGAGATCCTCTGCCCCAATACTAGGACCCATCACAAGTGAACTACTGATATATGAGGTGGTGATGTTGGCATTCCTAATAGCATCTGCTACATTTCGGTCTTTTACTACCGCACGTACAAATGAAGTACACGCTTTACGTGGATCTACCAAAATATCTGAACCAATTAATGGTGTTGATGTTGGTACTATTGTTGTTGTTGTTGTTGTTGTCCTAGTACATACCCCAGCATTATCTTTTCTTTCTATAGAAGTATTTTGTATATGGGTTTCCATCTCCATCATTCCAACATCTTCTTGCTCTTTCACCTCTTTTTCGTTATTCTTCTCTTTCTTCTCATTGTCTTCTGGTATATGTATTCCACTCATAGATACTATATGAGACTCTGGAGCAAATGCATCCAACATCTTTCCCGTATCATCAAATATATACCGACGTCCTAAACCCACTAAAAGTCGTTCACGTCGTCGCTGTTCTCGCTTTGCAAGCCAAGAAGGATGAGGCATATAGTAATTATAACGTAATCCAAGTTGTTTCCCTTTTTTTGTGGCTTTCCTCACAACGAGTTTTTCTGCAATGATATCAATTGGATGTGGACCTTGTTGATACCACTGAAGTTTTTCATCCATCAGTTCATGAGGTCGGAATTCCTCTTGATGTTTCTCTGCCTCCTGTTGTTCTTTAGAAATAGTTAAATGTAAAAACTGTCGTAATTCCTTTCGTGACATTCCATCTGTGTTTAAACCACGTTTCTGTGCCTCATATACCGCACGTTCATGTTTACTTAAGTGTGCCAATGGATCCGTTACTTTACTCTTTTCCAGCATACGTTTTCTTTGCTTTTCCTCTTCCTCCCGTTGTTTCTCCAGTCGTGCGGCCTTCTTCTCTGCTGGGGAGGCAAATAAATATGAGAAGTTGTGCCCCACTTCTCCCTCCGCGGCGACCTCCAAATCGGCGGCCTTCGGGAGAACAACACCGCCGCCCTTCCGCAGTTCCTTCAAGTTGACGTTCGACATGAAACCGGACCACTCGCGGCGCCAGGCGTTTTCGCCCTTTTCGACCGTCGCGGCATATCGGCGGGTGGGACCCGATCGGGCTGGGGCCACACTCTTTGACATTCACACAACTATCTTTATATTTATATATATAGGATATTAACGGCAAGAAGAGTAAAAGAAAAAAGAGGAAAAAAGAATAACGAGAACAGAGAAAAGAAAAAGTCTTGATATATATATATATATATATATAATACGGTTCTTGAAAGTGTAAAGAAGGTGTGAAACATGGAAAAAAAAAGAATAATAACAGATACAGTCGCAAAACGAACAAACAAAGAATGAAAAGGGAAAAAAAACCTCATTTTCACATGACAGAGACGGTAAAAAAAGAAAAAGAAAAACACCATCTTTAATATAATTGAGGATTCTCTTCCTTTTCATTTCACTTCTTTTTTTTTTTTCTTTCTTTCTTTGCTTTCGTCAAACAAAAGAGGAAAAAAAAAACACAATAAATACCTATGCCACTAGCACTAGAGTAGTAGATAATACAAAAAAAAAAAACAAAAAAAAAAAAAACAACCATTGACATCACGTCTAGACTCGTTTTTCAACATTGAGGTTTACATGCATAAGAAGAACAATAAGAGACGAAACACCAATAGAAAAGAAAGAAAAAAAAAGAAAAGCCTGGAAAGGAATATACCGGTGAAGTAACAAAAAAAAAAAACTAATAACAATAATAATAATAATAATAATTGATTTTCGCCCGGCCATATCAAATACAATAAACAATATTATTGTCATGATATGAACCCATAGCTATAATCAGACGGATGTTGAAGAGGGGAGAAAAAAGGGAAAGGATTGACTGTTCGTATATACATATAATAAAGCATTTCGCGCGTTCAATCAACAAAAAAGAAAAAAAACAACAAATAAAAATAATAAAAAAAAAAGATGCTCAATACAAAGTGAAAAACATCAGCAGAAACGCGAGTAGAAATAGATATAGTTTGCTTCTTTAACATTTGAAGGGGACAGAGTAGAGCTCTACTCTACTGCTTCTACTGCAATTCCATAAACATAAACAATAGGTAGAAAGAAAACACTAATACCACAGAAGAAAAACAATAACAAGAACAACAACAAAAAAAAAAAAACGCGCAAAAACAAACGACTATACAAGTACAATGACACCTCAGATCTTCACACCGTTATACATTTGCAGTGTTCATCCATTTCTCTCCCTTTTTTTCACGTTGCAGTTAAAAAAAAAAAAAGAGTATTTGTCTTATTTCTCAACCGTTTTTTCCTTTCCTTTCCTTTTTTTTTTTTAAATTAATTGCCTATACTTTCCATCTTTTTTTCTTTCTTTATTATTCCTTCCCCCTCCTCCCATTAGTGTTTCTTCTTCTCTTGCTCTTCACAAACATGTTCAACTCATCCTCCTTCACTCTCTCTCTCTCTCTCTTGTTGGTATATCTTTTTTTTTTCTTCTTCTTCTTTTATTCCTCCTATACCTTTATCTTAACAATGATCCTATCAACGAGGTGAACTTTTACTTTCCCGTCGACTAGCCCTAATATTTCCTAATTGCGCAGTTCGATAAGGCAATCGAACCCGTTGTAATACTCCCAACGACCGAGGCATAGTGGAGTTATGTGTGTAATTTGGTGTTACCGCATTTCTCTGCGATGATTCCACATTTCCCTTACTTGTTGGATGTTCCAATGATATCGTGGAGGTGGGAGTGATGAGAGGCGCCAGTCGTGTGGATAAGACTGGTCTCCACAAGTCTCCACGATCATAAACGGCATGTCCACCCACAAAACCAGGCGGTAACCATGGTGGATTGGTAGCTCTTCTGTTTCGTTCTAGACGTTGGGCCAATACTTCTTCTGCAGATGGATTAAATGTAATCCCTTCATGTCGGATCACTTTTAAATGTGGACATTGTGTAGCGAGATGGAGAATGGCATTTCCACTTACATCTGTAATGGGATTATGAGAAATATCCAATGCCTCCAATGTGGGGTGTTTTAATAATCCTGTACATAACTCGGATATACCAGTATCATGAATATCATTAGAACTTAAATCCAAAAGGCGTATATGTTTTAGTCGTGGGAGTAATGGTGCGAATGACTTTACACCAGCATCACCAAGATTCACATTGGAAAGAACCAGCGATGGAGTTTCTCTCCATAATGAAGGAGTAGTCAACATATCTAATATCTTTTCATTGGGTTTTACATGATTATGAAGACAATTTACTACATAATCCGATCGAAGTGTAGATGGATCTAATGTATACAATTGAAAGGTATCATAATCTTTTAAACCAGGCATAATCCGTTCGTCAAGGTCCTTTTTAAATCGAGAAAAGTCTTCTTTCTGTGCAGTTTTATTAACATTTTGTTCATACTCTTTTAAAAATACCATTTGCATCATATCTGCTATCATATCCATTCCATCAGATTTCCAATACGTATCATATAATTCTTCCATACGTTGATAACGAGATTTAGTATCGGACGAAGTTCCTTTTGGTTTCAACGGACTACCATTACTTTCACCTATACTTGATTGAGTATTCATTCCCACACTAGAGCTTTGTCTGATACTAATAACATCATCTTTTGGTGTTGCGACAGGAAAACGAAATCCAGAATCTTCCCCAACTAATGCACTCCCACAGGTATTAAGATGTAAAGGTTCATACTCTTCTTCACTTTTAGAAGAATCCTCATTTTCATTAAAAATGGTAACATGTAATCCTTGTTTGCCGTTGCTGCGTTTACCATTATTTTGAGAATCCGGTGGTGATTGTGAATTCATCATTGCAGATGGTTGTTGTTGTTGTTGTTGTTGATTTTCTTCCAGGACAGCAGTTGATTGACTGCCCCGTTGTTCAAAAAAACGTGAATCGCTTTGAAGAACACCATTTACTGTTAAAAGATTTTTTCCCTCACGAAAGAGATCTGAGAATACAGTGAAGATACGATCCACAGTTCCCCCTGGAAGTACATCTATCTCACGTGCCAACTGTAAATCCTCCCGCAGTAATGTGAGAAGAATTTCCATCACTCGTTGAAGTTGTAAAGAAATCGCTCGATAATCCACACCACCGTTAAGATATTGACACAACTCCGATGAGGCTACAAAGAGTTCACGTTCACTCCAATACGTTACACTGCGGGTTTTAAGTGAATGAGTGGAGTGCGGAGTGCCGCTGTGGCTTGCAGTCACCGCACTCTCATCTTGAGTGGAGGGAAGTTGAAACTTTACTTCTGATGAGATAGAGTCTGTATGTATATCTTTACATGATACGCTTTGATTCTGTGAGCTGAGGGCCACCTGACGTTGTAGAGATGCGCACTTGGAATTTATGTGCATCACCATCTGCTCCACCTTCTCCATATTGAGATCGAAGGGGGCGATCTCGGAGAGCTCTAACATTTTTATATATACACACTCACTCAGAGGTAAATTAAATAAATAAATATATATATATATATAAAGAAAAGCTAATAGGCAAGAACAATAACAACAAGAGAAAGTGTCTCTTTACTGATTGAACTTTGATATACTCCTAGTAAAAAAAAAAAAAAAAAATTGTTGGTTTTGCCTTCTCTTTTTTTTTTCTTTTTTCTTTCTCTTTTCAATTTACTTCTCACTGTTTTGGTTGTTTGTTCTTACTACTATGGTTTTTGATGATAATGATAATAATAATAATATTGTTGTTGATGTGATCAGGAAAACCCTATTTGGGGAGTTGTGGTTTCTCTATTTTTTAACCCTAATCCCTTCTTCCTTTTAGGGAGTCTTTGATCCTCACTCCACTCTCACCGGTCACTCCAGAGAGATATAACTATATGATCTAGAATAAAAAAACAACAGCAACGAGAAGAGAAGAAAATAATAATAATAATAATAATAATAATAATAATAAAAAAAGAAACTCACAATAAAGAGAAACAGCAGTCATGAAAAGCCAAAAGAATAAGAACGAGAGCATATTTCTCGTTTTCAATACAGTTTCACACAATCAGAATATATGTGAAGAATATCAACACAAAAAGAAAAAGAAAAAAAAAAAAAAAACATTGAAAGGTTCCAACAATAACAAAAAAAAAAAAAGAAGAAAAGAAAAACAATACTTTTATTTGTATCGTCGTCACATACAATGTGTATGTTATTTCATGATATCTTCTAGATATAATACACACACATATATATTTATATAATATCTATCTATACATATATATATATATATATATAAACTGCAAAACAAAGAAAAAAGTATTATTTGTTTCAGATTATTCCATCACCTCCACCAACTCCTTTCTTTTTTTTTTTCTTCTCCCCATTCTTGTATCTTCTAGTTTTCCACTTTCCATATATATATATTCATATTTATTTATACATTTCTTGTATGTGTACTACCAGCAGATCCATGTGAACTATCAGATTGACTATCGGATGAATCTGAGTGATGAGACTCTTCTCCTTTCACTTGTTGCATTAATAAAAAGATTCGCTGTGCCATTTCACGATTCTCCTCCACAAGTGCGGCATTCGCCTGTCGTAATTCACTTTCCCGCTGTACCCATTCCTGTACTTGTCGTTTCTCACGTATTTGAAAACGTTGTAAATCTCTGTGGTAATTCTCTCTATCCGCTTCTGCCTTTTGACACTTCTTCATTAATTCTTCATATCGACGTTGAACTTCCATTGCCACTCGTTGAAGTGCCTCTCCTTTATTCCGTTTCTCCATCGCCACTGTATCTCGTCTTCCACACAGTGAACAGGGATCATCTGGTCTCTCTGGTGGTCTTGGTAGTGGTTTTAAACTATCTTTTAAAAGTGTACTGCTGGCAAGAGAATTCATGCGAAGTGTGATATGCCGTAAAGAGTCACTGACATCATGAACCATATCTCGAATAACTTTTGCGGTGAGTTCATATTCACCAGGGGGAATCCACGTGGGCCGGAGATAATTAGCCATATCTAGATTTAAATCATATAAGGCATTTACTTCTTCTGGTGTGCAATCTGTTATTCCCATACTCATTAAATCCGCTCGTGTGATGGGTCGTAAACGTCGTCTCTGTGTTATTTTACCCTGTGGAGACTTTGAATCGATTGTTTGTATTTCATTCATTGTTGTTGTTGTTCCCTTAATAACATCTCCTTCTTCTTTTCCTCCTTCCCCAGCAGTGATTGGTAAATCTCGTTGTTTATTATTTTCCCCATCTTCTGCATATGTTACACGTCCAGTAGATGATGAAATCCGAGTAGGATGATCATTAGAGTCTTGAATGGCATTCCAACGACTAAAGACATCAAAAACATGTTGACGATGTTTCTTTTCCGCCTCAAAGGAACCCACCACTCGGGCAATATCTGCCCATTTCATAGAAGCTACATTTACTGTAGAAGTGGGTTTAGGTAAAGTAAGGGATTCATATAAAGGTTGACAGGCTCCATCTACAGCTTGTAAAGCATCTGTTAAAGCACTTAAAAGTCTATAAGACTCAATATATAATTCATTCTTTGCTAATACAGTTTCATTTATTTTCAAATTATTCATTTGTGTTGTAGGGGCATCACCTACTTTATCTTTTTCATCAAAGAGAACATTAGACATATCATACAATTCTTCTAAACCTTTCGTTGTTAAGTGTGTATAACTCTCTTCTAATTCCATAAGTAAACTCAAATGATGCTCTGGAGAATGTTTTGAGAAATTCTTATCTTTTAACTGTAAACGTTCCATTAGAGTATCATACTTTGATGCTTTCCCTTCCAATTCACCATTCGCACGACGAAGGTTTTCCACTTCCACTCGCATATTACGAACTTCTTCTCGTAATAAAACAGCATCTTCCACATCTTTTTTAAAATCTACAATTAAATCACGACGGGCTTTGGCTTCATGACGTGCCTGTTCTTTACAATAACCAAGTAACCATAAAGCACTGGAAGTAACATCTGTAATAACAAGACGAAGTGCATCTAATAAAGCCCCACGTTCTGCACATGATCCTGCGATTTGACGAACAAGTTCTACAAGTCCTATATCTACAATTTCCATAATATGTTTAGCGGCTTCTACATATTGTACATGTGCTGTATCGGATTCTTGTAAAGCTTCTGGATTTAATAACCTTTCTACATCTCTTGAACTTTTATTATTTATCGATTCATCATTTGCGGGTTCTGGTAAGAGACGTTGGGCAATATTTTTATCTGCTAATACAGCTAATGCATCTGGTATATCTTGAAACATTCTATCCAGTGTATCCCCTAATAAATATACCTGAGCACGTCCAGTAGCTTTTACAGCAGGAAATAAAAGTGAACTTTTAGCAGGAATACGTCCAACTACTTTTTCCACATCATGTTCCCAATGTCTTCTACTTCCAGGGAAAGTAGGACTATGAATTGTTACCCATAAATCACGAGGTACACGTGAAGACTCTAATGAAGTAATACGATTAATAATTCCTTGACGAGTTGCAGAAACATGCATAGCTGTTCCACCTGGCCAAGTTTGTTGTACTTTTTCATATTCTTTACTTACAGAAAGTACAGCATCTAATGCAGAAAAAATAGGTTTGTACGATGGATGACAAGAGGGAATACCAGAATGGCTTTTAGATGGATCACTAGAGCCTAAACTTGGACGACGACGTGCCGCTGCATAAGCAACCAATTGTTCAATAATACCAGAATCATCACCTACATTGGTAGATCGTGTTAAAGGTACTCTAAGAGTTGTATTGGCCTCATCTGCAGAAAGAGAAGAAGAATTAGATGAAACCATAGATAAACGTCGCTGAGATTTATTTTCCTTTTTACGTAAAGGAGATGATGATGATGTAATAAGTTTTGAATTACTTTCATCTGGAGAAGCCTGTTCTTTTTTCTTTTCCTTTGATAATATACTTGTAATAGGAAGTACTTCACGCGGGGTTGGGTCATTCTCACTACGTGATCGATCAAACACTTTTGCCTGTAGCATATATTCCACAAAAGGAGGTTCTAAACGTTTTACTTGTGTACGTAAAGCTTCCATATGAGCATTTGGAGATATTTTTTCTTCTACTGGTAAATGACGTCTTTTAGCACTTTTCTGTCCAGCGAATTTAGTTGCAATATTACATCCTTTTTGTAATAAAGCTTGAAGTGTTTTTGGAGTAATACGATCATCCACAAATTTTTCATCTGTTGAACCTTGTTTATCTATTGATAGTGAATCTGATGTAGGTTGGGCTGTTGTAATTCTAGGAAGATATCTACTAAGCATACTTACCGTTTCATCCTGTACAGCTTTCATAGAGTTCTCTGCCTTTTCCACGGTCTGTTTTCTCATACTCGCGGAGGGTTCTTCAGAGGCATGTGGAACTTTCCCGTAGAGATATTCATTAGGTTTCATTGGGTATTGATATTGTAGACGATTCATTAATGGATCCATTGATTTCCCCTGTACATTTCGGTTATGTTTCCATGCATCCCTTGACTGTATAATACTACTAGAGTTAATACTCTCTTGGGCCCGTGATCGGGGTTGTGTTGCGCCAACAGAGAGCATGCCAATAGAGGCTTGAACAGATGAGGAGGAACTGCAACGCTCCGCTGTGGCAGATCGACTGTAGAACTGCACGGGATTAAGTGGATTAAGTGGATCCATCTGTAATAATAATAATAATAATAATAATAATAATAATAATAATAATAATAATATCCTTATCCAATTTGTTTATACGATATATACATATAAAGGAAAAAGAGGAAATAAGAGAATCAGAGAGAGGGAAAGAGTGAAAAAGAGAAATGGCACCCTCTCTCTCTCTCTCTCTCTCTCTAGGTACCGATTTTTTTTTCTCTTCTCTTCTCTTTCTGTACTATGATTCCCAGTTTTTTCCTCTTTCACTGGGAGGTGCTAGATAAAATAACAAAAAGAGAAAAAAAAAAGAAGAGTTGATGATAATAAGAACTACTGAGCATATGCATAGTGTAGGATAAATATACAAAAAATAATTAAAAAAGAAAAAACGTAGGTTTCATACCCAGTGTAGAAAAAAAAAAAAAAAAAGAAATTGTAGAGGAAGAGGAGGCCCCTCCCCAAAAGAATAATAATAATAATAATAATAACAGTAATAAAACAGCAGTGGAAAAAACTCCGTTTATCCGTTTTCCATTTTCTTTTTTTCCTTTTCCCGCTCTTCCATGTTTATTTAATGTATCATTTGAAATAAATTCCATCACAACAGCGAGAACGAGAAAGAATACAGAGTACAACAAGAAAAAACAATAATGATGATGAATAATAATAATAACGACGACTGACCATCTATCTGATCTATTATTATTATTATCATCATCATTTATTAACGTACGGATGTCTCCCCTGCAACAAACTCCCGCATACGTCGTGCGGCATCTTCAAGCTGTGGATTATCCGATGGATGTTTCTGCACATCTGTCCCTAACGAAGTAATCTGAATAGCCAAAGAAGGTTGAAACACATACATCTTTGGATCTACAATATATTTATCCTTCGCCACTGGATCCTCCTCAAAGTTACTACTAATATGTGTATCCACCTGCCAAGTCATCGGTACTGATAACTCCAAACAACGTTGGGCAGCTTTCTGATGAATAACATACGCAGTGAGTTCACGGTGTCCTTGATAGGCAAGACGAATCCCATCATCAATAAACGGCCGTGGGGGTTTACCACCCGCTAAGAGATCTAAACCACCAAGATGAACAATTCCCCAATCAGATGGAACTTTAGACCATAAAGAAGGAAGTAATCGATGAAACTTATGATGGAATTCCACATCATCTTCAAGAACTAAAGCACATTGACGTTCTTCCGCTACAATCATCTCCCATACCTTTCGATGCCCTAACGCACATCCAATGGCTCCAGGTGTGAGATCCATTCCAAATAATTTCTCCTCTATTGGTAGGAGAAAACGATTATATCCGAGTTCGGTGATAATACCTTTTTTATATAAAGACTCCACATCTAATGTTTTTCCATCAATTCCACTTACGCGTGTAATTTTTGCTGGGGAATGGAGAAAGGTTTGAATCTTTGCACGGTCCATTTGACGACGTACATGGGCCCAACGGTCTGTACGATGATCTAAGTTTAGAACATAACAGGCATCAAAAATATTACGTCGATAAACAGATGAACGAAACATTAATTTTGAAAAAATACTCAAAAGGTGTGGTTACAGCACTAATGTGAAGAACTGTTTCTTTTTTTTTTTGTTTTACTCGTCAAAATTTTGTTGTAACCCACCTTTTTCTTTTCTTATTATTACTATTACTTTCTTCTCGACCCGCTTTATATATATAGAAAAAATAAAAGAAAAAGAAAAAAGGCAATGTAAAGAAAAAAATAATAGGAGTAGCAATAAATAACAAAACTACAGACTTTCATCATATCATTTATCACACACTCACACACACACACACAGGAATGATATTTCCATATAGTTTCAGCGAATTAGTTCCAGACAGAACTACCATCACCACAAGAATAAGAACAACAACGAGAGAAATGAGAAGGAAAGACAAACAACAAAAAAACAACAACAAAAGAAGTGTTGCAATCCCACACATTTAAACGCCTTTTTTTTTACTTAAAAAGAATGAAGTTATACAGAAACACAAGGAGATAGAAAAAAAAAAAAAGACAAGTAACACACCTCATCCTTCTTTCCCTTACTTTCTATCATCTTCACAGCCTTTGTTAACCTCTTCCTTCCTTTCTTCCCTTTCTTTCTTTTTTACACCTATTCCTCTTCACGCATGGCCCCTTGATGTCGTCGCTTGGGTCCCCAGTTGGGGGCGTTGGGAATAAATTTCGCCACACCCGTCACTGAGCCGCGGAAGTCAAATTGTTTGTCGTATGAAAAATCTGCTTCTGCCATTGCAGTCACTAATGGAATTCGCACCCCCACAGCCCCAGACTTCTTTACATTTTCCGTTTCCAACAGAGAAGCCCTATTATTATTATGATTATTATTATTGTTAACACCAACTTCAGAAACGACCGCACTGTTTGAAATTTCCTTTTCCTTTTCCTTTTCCTCTTTCTCTGCGTGTTGCTCTTCCTCCTTCCACTGCAGCATCACACTCACCAACACAGCAGCCGGGCAATCCGTCTTAAGACCAGCGGGCGAACAATGCACTTGACTACACCGGTAACCCAGTCGACCCACAGCCCCAACGAATAACGGTGTGGGTGGACAACGCACCCGTACAAAGGAGGCAATATCTGGAATTTGATAAAAAAGTGGAGTGTCTGGAAGTTCTTCCATTGCCAAACGTACTAAACCAGCCACACGAGCCTCTGATGTAATTTGTTTCGCCTTCCCTCGCTCTTCAATTTCTTTTAATAGTTCTGTGAGAAATGAAACATTCTGTGTGGCTGCAGCGTATATGGGTCCAGAGATGGTTACAAATGCCCCACAAACATTACAACAACGGAAATTCTCAGAGGGCAACATATTCTGCAAACTACAACATGTAATTTTTGGGTTCTCTTGTCGTGAAGGTGGTGATGGAAAACTTTCTCTACCCAATACATCAGCTTTACAGTTAGTTTCATTTTCATTCATATTATTAATATTATTATTGCCGCTACTACTATTATTATTATTATTATTATTATTATTATTATTATTATTATTATTATTATTATCTCCAATAAAATCTTCTTTGTGAGAAGCATCGTATTTTCTTGCCCGTTTTTTGGCTCGCATACGAGCCACACCCATTGGACGTACCCAATATGCCGGACAGTGACTACACTGGAGAAGGTAACCCAATTTGCAAGGACCAAGCTTTGCCTCTGCAGGCTGCGTATATACACGGAAAAAGCATCGTACATAAAAGTCGATATGAAGAGAAAGTAGTGGAACAATATACTTGCGGTGTTTGTTAGCCACACGTTCAATAGCGGCGAGAAGAATTCGTACAGCCATTTCATGACATGCCGCATTCTTTGATGGAATAGAGTTATATTTAACATGACATGTATCTGGATAGTTTCCACACAGAATAGCACTATCTGTGCTTGTTACCAATAAGAGTCCTCCCTCCTTTACACATCGCATCGCGGCATCAAGAAAAGGAGAAGCTGAACCATATGGATCAAGATCCACAACATCAACTAATTCTTGTTGAAGTAATGGCTCAACACTAGGCGTGTTATTACTATTACTGCTAACATCCATACTACCATTATTATTATTATTATTATTACCTTTAGTACTCGAAGTCGTCGTTTGGGAAACAACACATAAACGTCGTCCATTATACACCGTAGGATTGGTGGCAAGACGAAACATTAAATCATTGGCATCATCCAAGTTTGGAATCACAGCTCCTCCACTTAAAATGATTCCATTTTCCTCATCCACAGAAATGTTATCAGATGGAAAGTTTTCCTCCAATGTTGGTCGAACACATGGAACTCCATTGAACTCACAATTTCGACGAATACACTCCACCGCATCTGGATCAAGATCATTGGCTATTATATACCGTACGCCTGGAATTTCTTTATAATAACGAATAGCCCGAAGTCCTGTAGCGCTAAGGGCTTCAAGAATTGTAATTCCATCACGTGTACCGCCTTTGCGGCGCGGTTCATTTCGACGTAAACGTGAAAAACAGGATAACGCACACACACTTAAATCTCGGTTTACTACTTGTGCAGGATTGTAAAAAACAGCCTGACCATCATTATCATTATCATCATTATTATTATTATTATCCCCACTATGGATGTATAAATTACCATTATTATTATTATTATTATTATTATTATTATTATTATTATTATTATTTTCTTCCTCTTCTTCTTCTTCTTCTTCCTTTTGCCTTTTCGCATTCTTTACAGCTGCCGGTGGGAACAAAACAACTGCAGTTCCTTCAGTGATCCTTTCAAATCCAGACGGTGTCTCTTTTGCGAAAACATCCGTACCAAAAAGTCCAGAACGCATAGCTGGAGCAGGGGGAGCATCAATAGTGGTATTATCCGGAAGAGAAGTCGCCATCAATTCCTTTTTTTCTTTTCTTTTCTTATTTATTTAACGACAAATCCTTGTCCACTAGACTCCACTCAAGAAAGAATAAAAAAATAAAATAAAAAAAAAAGCAAATTATTGAAGTGAAACACATTATATTTAACAATTAACACAAACCCATAGAACAACAACAACAAAAAAAAAAACATGATATGAGCAATCGCACTTTCATTTAATTCTTTTTTTTTCCAGATAATAATTTCAATATCAGCATCTTTGGTACATTTTTGTTTTTGTATTTGAAGAGGAGAACTGTATAGAGGCAAATGAAGTAACAACAACAAGAACAAGAACAACATACCAAACATCTGCTTCCAGTTGCGCAGCTTTTCTTCCCTTTCATTACTATATATTACGTAGTAGTAGTTACTTCTACACTCTCTGTCTTTCCTACAGTTTCCTCCTCCCCATCATCCTTCTTCTTTTCCTTCTTCAGATCACTTTTTCTCCTCCTTTATTTCCATGCATTCGTCAAGAAAAGAGCAATGATTATTGTGTGAAACCATACGTATTTGTGTGTTACAAGTACATACGTGTGTGTGTGTGTGTGTCTGTGTTTTAAAATATATATATATATATATATATATATATATACACTTGTAAAATCAACACACTAAAAATTCCTTACTGACACTTACAATGCACTACACGATGTCCCTGCTCTTCATACTCCTGCCGTGAAACGGTTAAATGTGGAAACATTGAAGTACGTGCGAGCATAGAGCCACCAAGCCAAGTACTGTAGACACGACAATCCACATCGTGTACACGGATTGGTGTTACCGCCTCACTAGTGTGTGTTTCCCTATATAATTGTGTTACCTCAGCTTCAATACGTTCTCGTGTTCCCGGAAAGGAGACATTGCCTCCAGCTAGTACAATATTTGCAAAGAGTGCCGCTCGCATCTCTGAATGACAATTATTTATAGCCGCAAAAGGCAGCCAACTAATACCCATAGGAAATGATGGTAAAAAGACATCTCCAAGTTCTGTCATATAGTGCGATCTAGGTATATACTCTTTTCCAAGAATGCCAAAGTTAAAAAGAACCTCTGTAGTTTGATAACGATGCTCCCCTAATGGAATAGCATTTCCATCTGGTAAATAAAAAACCTCTTCTGCAAGTTGCGTATCCCCGTTATTTGACACTATCCCATCTCGATTCTCAGTTCCCCCAAAATCAACCTGTCGTACATAACACAAATCCTCCTTCGCACGATTCAGCACTTCCATCTCTAGTGGGGTCCCAAGACTGTACCCTTCACGGCGCAGAAGAGTGGCGAGATGATTAGTGAGAGCCGAGCCCGCAACCGGTGCGGTTGCCAAATGTCTCCCGAGTGCATATCCCTCATGCACGGGAACGGCCACTGTGCGATCTCGTCCACTGTCTAGCACGAGTCCTGTCGTGAGTCCATATGCGTAGAGACTCAACACAGGTGCCGCCCCGAGAAAAAGTGAGTGTACATGAAATGTCTCCATCATGAGTTCCAGTATACGTTCCCGCTGCTCCGCCGGGGCCGCCACATCCTGCGGGACGACGAAGCAATGACTCTCCGGCGTCACGCGCAGCTCTGAGAACATCACGTGCCCCCAGAGTTTCTCCATGTGGTCCCAGTTGGCGACGAGGCCGTCGTGAATGGGGCTGCCGACGGTGAGCATTCCCCGGCGGACGAGCGCCTCCTCGCCGATCTCGTACTCATTCATCCCGGCCGCCATCGCCACGCCGCGGTTCCGCGGTTGGCCGACGAGTGCGGGGATGTCGAGGCGGGGGCCCTTTTCGTCGGCGTAACCGGCGCGAATGCGGTGGGAGCCGGCGTCGAGAATGACAACAGGCACACGCTCCCGCACAGCATCCATCTTTTTTTTTGTTTTTTTTTTTTTTGTCTCAGGGAGTAGTAGTGGTTTCTATCAGTGGGGTATTTTCCTTTTTCTTTCTTTTTTTTCCCCCTTCGTTCTATTCTATTCTAATTATAGGGTTAGAGTAAGTATTTACTTGGGTAGTGGTGGTGGTGTTTTTTTTTTTTTTTTACAGAGCCACGGGCACGGTAAAAGAAGAAAAAAGAAAGGAGAAGAAATGAGAGCTTAAACTAGACTCCTTCTCCTTTTTTTTTGCTTTGTTTTGCTTTTTTGCTTGTTTGTTTTTGTTTCTTTCTTCTTTCTTCCTTTAATGCCTATGTATTTGTTGAAACACAAAAAAAAGAAAAAAAAAGGGAGTACATTATTGAGCACATTACCACAAGTACTGATCTAGAAATTAGAAACCAATCTTACATAGAATGAGACCAATCTTAAAAAGTAAACAAACAAGGCAAAGTAAAACAAAAAGAAAAAAAAAAAAAAACAACAACAGCAAGATAAAGAAAAAGTTAGAAAGGAAATCATTCAAAACCGAGCCGATGGACATGGTGCAGGATTCAAAAGTATATTTTACAAGTATCACTAGAGTGCAAGATACATCTAGAATAGTAGCCCACACACATAGAGAGAGAGAGAGTGAGAGGGCAAGAGAGTAAAAGAAATTAACAACAACACCTAAACAAACGCAAACAGAATAAAGAAATAAAAGAAAGAAAGGTAAATATAAAGATAAGAAAGTAAGGTATGAACACCTCATCTCATCCTTATCCTCCTTTCTCTCTCTCTCTTTCTGTCTCCCCCTTGCCTAAGTGAGAAGCATCACGATAGCGCAATAAAATCATTACCTCTCACTTTTTTTTTTATCGGTTTCCTGAAATACATTATAAGTTCCAATTTTTTTTCCCCGCCTTTCACTCTGTGTAACCAATATAGAGAGAGCGAAAAAAAAAAAGAGAGAGAGGTATATCCTTCACAAGAAAAGTAAAATCAAAACATTCAAATACCCTTCCATCACCACCACCACCACCACCACTAATAATAATAATAATAATAATAATAATAATAATAATAATAATAATAATAATAATAAACCCCCTTTAACTAAACCAATACTTAATAAATCCTTCCACTAAGAAGAAATACCAGAACCATATCTTTTCAACCATTGATCATACTTTTCCAATTCCGACTGTCGCACACTACTCTGTGTACAGGCCACACTTGCCTTCACATCATCCAGCGTCACCGATGGCCGTTTTAACGGTCCTTTTCCCAAATCCGCCGGATTACCCGCCCGTTCGAGTTTCTCAATCATTATTCGTATGGGTCTCATCATCGCCTCCCGACAAACCACATCAATATCCGCCCCAGACATACCTTCTGTGAGATCTGCACAAACATTCCAATCAAGATCTGGAGCAGCTGTAGGGGTTAAGATTTGACGAAACATTGTGGCTCGTGCCTCACGTGTTGGTAAACCAACAAGAATACGTTTTTCCAGTCGACGTAGCATGGCAGTATCAAGATCCCAAGGGACATTACTGGCTGCAAGTACAAATACAACTTCACCACCTTTTCGCTTAGATAGACCATCCATCTGTACTAATAATTCTGTCTTCATACGACGTGAACCTTCATGCATTCCTTCTCCAGATCTTGATGACATGAGAGAATCAATTTCATCTATAAAAATAGTACTTGGGGAATAATGAACAGCCAAATCAAAAAGAAGTCGTACAAGTTTCTCACTATCACCACGCCATTTTGAAACAACACTAGATGCAGAAATATTAAAAAATGTAGTATGACATTCTGTAGCTACTGCTTTTGCAAGTAAAGTCTTACCAGTTCCAGGAGGACCAAATAATAAAATACCTTTCCAAGGTCGTACAATACCAGCGAAAAGTTCCGGATATTTAACTGGCATCACTACAGCCTCTTTTAAAAGTCGTTTGGCCTCATCTAATGCAACAATAGAATTCCACCGAACATTAGGATTTACATCTAAAATATCTCGTTGTATCGTCATAGCCAAGTCTTGAAGTTCTGAAGTAGGAAATCGTGGAAGTGGCTTTAATGCACGACCAAAAAAAGTATCTTCATCTTCTTCATATCGGGGACTATTTGGACTTTGTCCATCCAACGCTGGATCTAGTCGAACTCCAGCTAATCCCATAATACCAGCCGCATCGGAAACAAATCCCTTCTTCTTGTGATTGTTACTATTATTGTTATTATTATTATTTCCAATTCTTTTCCGTTGTGGTGATGGTGGAGTATTTGGCCGTTGTGCGAGTGCCAAACCACGTGCAATTTGTGGTGAAGCCCCTGATGGTTTCTGTGTCTCCAATGCCCCACTCGGTGGGCTATCCTGCAGGTTGGCAACATTGGCGTAGTTTACCTTGTTAAGATTAATACTTCCCGGTGAACGTTTTGCCCGTGAACCGGCTGAACCTCCATTTGGTCGTCTTTTTACAGCCATACATTCACCTGACTGCATTTCTGTTGTGATATCTTGTCCTCCATCCACCGCACGGAAGAGTTTTGGACGGCGATTAAAGCGAAACTCAAAGTATTGTTCATATTCTGTAATAATAGAGAGAAGATCTACATTATCTGCTGGACAAAACTGTTGCATAGATATACGACTCTCTTGTTGTAACATCTGCAGTGTTCCTGTGTATCCTTGATCGAGTAAAAACTGCAGAATAAGTACAATAGCTCCCTTTACACGCTTTAATCGTATTCGTTCATCATCTTCTCGTGCCTTTTGTTGCATTTTAATAGCTTGTAGAGATGAACCCGGGGCACCATTCGGGTCATTAGATAAGGGTTGAAGACGAGAAGGATTCTTCTGTTGCATCTCTGCAAAAACAAAAACAAAAAAACAAAAAAAAATCTCACACCAGAGTAGGTACTATAATAAGAAGAATATCAATATAAATAAATAAATAAGATATTGCCTTATAAATATTATTCGTTTTGTTTTATTATTTTTTTTTCTTTCTTTTGTTTTTTTTCTTTCCATATTAAGAAAGTACGGTAATAATATTAAATATAATCAACAATACCATTATGAGAAGAGTAAAGGGGAAAAAGGGGGGAAAAAAATAAGTAATGAGCATAACGGTGTGTAAGCAGAAATGTGTGTAACAGACAAAAACAAAAAAACAAAAAGAAGAACCTCAATAAATAATAATAATAATAATAATAATAATAACAATAATAATAGTAATAATAACAAAAAAAAAAGGGAATTTCAGATAACAACAATAACAACAAGCAGCTACGGTAATATAAGAAAAGAAAAAAAAACAGAGAAAAGTTCACCATTTCACTTTCCATATCCGTCCCCTCTTCCCCTTTCTCCTCATTTCATTCTTCATTAGGATTACCACACATATATTGTAAAAAGTCTTAATGAAGATAATGATTTGAGTAAACGGTATTGTTCATACATTTGTGCTAAAAAAAAAAACACAAACGTTCTTCACTGTACCGTCTATGGGGAGATGGGAAGAGAACTTTCTCTCTTCTCTTTTATTACATCCTCCAATAGGGAAAAAGAAAACAAA